GCAGTTGGGTCACCTGGCCTCATTTCTGATGCAAATATCACAAGCGCTTCCTCAGTACAGGTCCACAGGGAAACGCTGGGCAAGGGTTTATCTTTCACTTTCACTTGGGCGCTTAAATGAAGAACTGGGAGCAGAAAGAAGTCAATTTGCTGAATCATTACGGAGGCCTGTAGTGTCTGAATGTGGAAGGGCAGAGACAATTCAGAATGGGGACACTAACTTCTGTGGGCTTACAATTTAGAGGAGTTGTAATAGAAATTCTGAAGACCCAAGTCTTTTGTTTCCTGGGGAAGGCTGTACCCACGATGTAACATCTCTCATTTATTATGTGTTAAAACAAATAATTACTAACTATGATTTAATACTTTACCCTTACAGATAATCATCATAAGGAATGCATTGCATTCTTAGGATGTTTTTACTCTGTCAAAAAAACTTCTGTGCTCACCACTTCCCACAGGAAGCTGCAGAGTGAGGGGTGCTCACCCTGACACTGCTGCTGTCAGGCGGCCTCTGGGGGTGAAGTTCTCTGGAGGGGGTCTTCCCATTCCAAGTCTGTGGTCTGGGATCTGGTTGGACACCTTCCTCTCCTTTCTGGGGTGGGAAAACTGTGAGGGGCTGTGCAAATGGGTGGCTTTGGCAGCTTCTCCTGATGAAGAAATCAATGGTGCCAGTTTTTTAGGCTCATCGAGGAATGTGTGGTATCCACTTTTCCACCTGCCCCCTACTCCCATGCCTATGTCCTAGAAGTAGGAACTTTTCTTGCTTTGTGGGATAATAAATAGGCCTTTATTTTCTAAAGTTCAGGCTCAGGTTGCAGAGGGGTGAGATGAGGCTAAAGATTAAAGGGCAGATATGATCTGCCAAGAGGAAAAAAAAAGGACTCTGGAGATAGAGGATCCTGGAACACAGTAGTGAGGCCAGCATGCACCCCCTGTAGATCTCTGGGGGCCTCAAGACCTCAGGGAGGTTCTTTGTGAGCCCCATAAGTCATGAAGGGTTTCTCTGAACCCACTCAGGGCAGCAGGTGGTGGGACCAGCTCAGCAGCCTATCCTGCAGCAAAGGGAACAACTGCACTGCTGGCCATCCCCCTGGGCCAGGGATCTGGTTTCTCACAGCTCTTGGCGTCATGTAAACTCCAGGATCTCCAATGGGTCCCATGGAGATGAGGGCCAGCTCCAGTAATGGCCACACAGGACTTCCCATCCGCTGGCAGGTGGGAGCTCACAGTTGAATGGATTAATTTGATTTTTTTAAAGAAGAAATACAATGTTTCTTGCACTTGAATGTTGCAAAGCAAATTTATACCTTTTAGACTAGACCATGCATAAATGCCACCCTGCAACTCCCTGGCAACTCAGAGCCATTGCAGGAAGGGCCACAGGGAAGGGACCCATGGAGGCTCAGAGAACAAAGTCCTCTGAGGAGGCGAAGAGACTCTCTCCTTGGCCAAGAATTTACAAAGAGGGAGACATACAGGGTACAGGCAAAATAGAAAGGACTCCGCTTATCACAGGATAAGGGAGGCTGCCAGTGCCACGTGGGATCTGGGAATTCAGAGAAAGCGAGGCAAGCAGTCAGGGCTGTGGACTACGGACTTACAGTCTACTGTGCTCCCCTCAGGGCTAGAGCTCCACGGAGGACTAGGCTGGAAACAAAACACTCCAAGAAGGCTACCCACTTCTTCAGCCATTACAGTGAGGTAACAGGCTCTCCCAAGATGGAGAATCTGGCTGTATAGGAGGAGGAAGTGACACTGACTCACCTACTAACCATATAATTCACATCATTGTATATTCTTTTATGTTCACTAAACTGAATGTGACTGTGTGACAAGAGCTTGAGGGAAGAACATCTGGCTTAGTGTGATGGGTATTCCCAAATACTAAGACACTGTCTAAGGTATATGCTCACCTACGCCTCTCTAGGAATCAACCATGTTTGTACCACCCCTTGCCCACTGCTGATTGGACCAGGGGAGGTCACCTGACCAAGGATGGGCCAATCAGCTTCCCTTTCTTAGGAATATGGAATTGGGAGTGAGAGACTGCAAGTTAATCTCAACGTGGGATTCTAACATGCCAAGTAAACTTGGGAGCCATAGAGAGAGAAAGGCAATGAGCATATTTCACTTTGTGGGCCAGAGAGACAGAGACACCAGGCTGTAGAAAGGATGAGGGTGAAGCAGAATCACGGTGAAAAGCAGAGACAAGGAAGAGTCCCACTGGCCTTCCAGGTCCTGATTCTAGTCCTCCCTGAGACCTCTTAGCACTCCTGCCTTTGGGTTCTGAGATATACCCTGGCATCCTTAAAATTCTCCTTTTCTGCTCAAGCTAGCTATTATTGGTTCTGTAGTTTACAACCACAGAGTCCTAACCAACCACCAGGAATAATACATACCAAACCAAGAAAGTCAGTGATCAGCATACTGGTTTTTTTTTTTTTTTACTGTGGTAAAATATACATAACATAAAATTTATTACTTTAGCTATTTTAAGCTGTTCTACAACCATCACCACCATCCATCTCCAGAACTTCTGGCCATTTTCTTAACCAGGTCTTTCATGATGCAAAGGTTGATCACTACAGTTCTGAAGCACGAGCTGAGGTGGTGATATATGCCAGTGCTGGAGATGGCTCTGCGATTCCTTCATATTAGTTATATTCCTAATTTGAGTTTATCATCAGGTGACTTGCTTCTTCCTCATCATTTCAGAGTTTAGAAAAAAAATGTGGGTACTTGAGGTTCCAGTTAACCCAATGTTCATTGTAAAAATTTTGGCTGTTTGATAAAATTCATTGACAATTGCTTTGATTTAATATCCTTTTGCTAAACATTGCAAATGGCTTTCCACCTAGATCTACACCCACATGATCCCCGTTTTATACAACACCTTCCTTCAAGGAGTTTATAAGCAGTCCCTTAATTTTCTGCTCCTTATAACTATGCCAAAATATACAAAATTTGTATATTTCCAGGGATTTCAAAATAATATACAAAAATAATATTTAAATATTCTCAGGGATTAAGAAGCATAATATCCCTTGTCTTTTGCACATAATTTTGAAGATAGATTCCCACTGTGTGCAATGGTTAATTATATGTGTCAACTTGGCTGGGCCATGGTGCCCAGATATGTGCTCAGGTATTATTCTGGATGTTTCTGTGAGGGTATTGTTGGATGAGATTAACACTGAAATCTGTGGACCTTAAGTAAAGCAGATTTCCCCCAGCTGTGGATGCGTCTCATCCAACCATTGAAGGCCTGAACAGAATAAATGATGAAGCTTCACTGGGCAAGAGGGCATTCCATTAGCAGATGGCCTTCAGACTTGAACTGCATGGTTTGGACTTGCCAGTCTCCATAATCTCATGAGCCAATTCCTTAAAATAAATCTCTCTATATTTATACACACATCCTATTGGTTCTGTTTCTCTGGAGAACCCTGAATAATACAACATGTTATACTTTTTTTTTTCCACTTTGCTCTTTTCCTTCACAGTTAAACACAAAAGTCAGCTACTATAAATAAAACAAATATCCAAACTGAGGTTACCTATTCCTAGCATGCAGAATGCCTAATGATTTCTATCTTTGCCTTAACTGAATCAAGTCTGAGCTCTTCATTTTTTATCACCAGGGTGAGCATTTTCATTTTTCCACTTTATATTTGTTTTCTAAAATAACCACTGAGATGTAATAAAATTTTAAAAATTGTCCCGAAACTTCCACAGTGACAAAAAATGATGCAACTGCAGAAGAGAGCAGTTGGCTGGCAAGCAGCTCTGCCGTGTGATAGCTGGAAATGTTCATTTCTGTCAGCTGATGCATGAGGGTCTGAAATTGGCATATAACTCTCAGTTTGGAAGTGTCAGAATATAAAAGGGAAGTTTCGGTTGTTTTAAAGCCCAACCATTGAAGTTGAGAACAAGCTATGCTATGTGGCAGTGAAATATAATAAGTCCACAGCTAACTCTAAAGCCAAATTTGACAAGCGCCTGTAAAGGAGACAAGGCAGGACAGTGAGAGGGTGGAACAAGGACACATCAGCTCTGCTTTCATGGGGAGGGGTCCTAGGGAGGGCCCTTGGTCTGGGCATTAAAGGATGGGGAAAATTTTGACACATAGATAGGAATTATTGGGGTTTTAAGAAGTCAAAGAAATAATATCCTTTTTCCCTCCCTCCTGAGTTTTGAACTATTTGAGATGCAGACACAAGAGTCTGCAGATGGAAATTAAAATATCACTCATTATCTATAAAGCCATCAAGATAACACGGCTAAGTTCTGTGGCCAAGTGGGTTTACGAAGACTTACTCTCTGAATTAGACACACTCCCCAGTCCGGGACCCAGTTGGGTGAAAGCTTTGTCCTGCACAGCAGAGGTGCCGACCAGAAAACAGGCCTATCCCAAGAAAGGAAGAGGCTGCGCCGTATGCCCAGATCTTTCTCTCAGAGCCACCTACCAGATGCCACCTCTGAGAGGAAGATTGAGAGAGAGGATGGAGAAAGGCCAGGAGTGTGGCTCTAGGTAGATGCTTGCACAGGAAACGTGAGGGGTGGGGAACAAATGTCCCCCATAACCGTATCCAGCTATTTGTTCTCCCAGTGTGTTGAGTTTCTCCGTCAAGTCTGCTGTCAACTAGGGATGTGGCAATCTCTCTCAGGAAAGAGGAAGAGGCAAGCTTCCTAGACGGTCTTGCTCCCACCCTCTGGGACTGAGATCCTCTCAGGACTGCCACCGGGCAGTGTACATTTTACCCCCAGGAGGCTCTGGAATGGGTCAGATGAATACATTAAGTCAACTGTGTTCCAGTTTTGTGTTGCTGCACAATAAACCACTCCAAATTTAGTGTCGAACAGCAACAGTCAATTAGTATTCTCTCTCACAGTTCTAGAGTTGACAGGGCTCAGCAGGCAGTTCTCACTTGGGTTCTCTCAAGCCCTCGTCTCTCAGACAGTAGCTGGGGCCAGAGTATTGCAGTCTTCCTCACTCACCTGTCTGATATCTGCCCCGGAAAGACTCACACAGCTGGGGCTCCTTGGGCTTCTCTCTGTCTCTGTGCGACCTCCTCACATGGTCTCTCTTGCAAGGGGCCTTCAGCATAGCTCAGGGCTCCAAGGGTGCGTGTCAAAATGAACAGAGAACCAGGCAGAGGTGGTATCCTCTTCTACGACCAAGTCTCAGAAGTCGCCCAGCAACACTTCTGCTGTCCTCTGTTGAGCAAGGAGGCTGAAAGAGCAGTCACAAAGCAGAACACAAAAAGTTTAAGATGTGCGGACACAGACTCCCCCTCTTCATGGGAGAGTGGCCAGGTTCTAAAAGAGCACGTGGGACTGGAAATAGTGTTATGGCGCCATTTTCTTTCTTTCCTTTTTTCAAAAATTGTGGTAAAAATATACATAACAAAAAGTTACTGTTTTAACGACTTTCAAGTATACAATTTAGTGGTTAAGTTCATTCACATTATTACGGAACCATAGCTACCATCCGTATTCAGAACTTTGTCTTCTTCCCCAAACGGAAACTCCGCCCCCATTAATCAATAACTCTCCATTCCCTCCCCGTCCTAGCCCCTGGTACCTCTATTCTACTTGCTGTCTGTATAAATTTAACTATTCTGGGTACCTCATATAAGTGGAATCATACAATAGTTGTCCTTTTGTGTCTGGTTTAGTTCACTGTGGGGCCATTTTTATAAAATGCAATTTGCCATATGCTCCAAAGTCAAGTTGTACCCCCAGCTTGAAAATTCACTGCTTATTCTAACTCCCATCAATTCCTTGATGCCTGGATAAAGCTGGGTTCTTCAGTTCCTCCAGGATCAGATGTCTCTCCAAGAATGGACCTCAGAAGTTAATAAGACACAGGAGATTATTTCAGCACCACCTATAACACTTTGGCTTTTAACAATGTTCCCAGGGATCAGTCCCATGGCCGAGTGGTTAAAGTTCCCCGTGCTCTGCTTTGGCAGCGCAAGTTTGCAAGTTCTGATCCTGGGCACGGACCTACTCTGCTCATCAGCCATGCTGTGGGGATATCCCACATAGAAAAAAAGAGAGAAAGATGTGGCTGGCCCCACGGCCCAGTGGTTAAGTTCTCATGCTCCATTTTGGCGGCCCAGAGTTTCACCGGTTCAGATCCTGGGCACAGATATTGCACCGCTCGTCAGGCCATGTTGAGGCAGCGTCCCACATGCCACAACTAGAAGGACCCACAACTAGAATATACAACTATGTACTGGGGGGATTTGGGGAGAAAAAAGCAGGGGAAAAAAATTAAAAAAAAAAAAGAGAGAGAGAGGAAGATTGGCACAAACGTTAGCTTAGGGCTAATGTTCCTCAAGCAAGAAAAGAGGGAGATTGGCAACAGATGTCAGCTCAGGGCAAATCTTCCTCACCAAAAAAAAAAAATTGTTTCCAGAGAGAATGATGTTCCCAGAACCCAATATTTAGTAGAATTTAGACTCAACTACTTTGTCAAAGTCTAGGGCAGAAACTCAAGGTGTTCTGAGGGAAGGAAGATAAACAGGGAGAAGGCCTTCTTGGGTCAGCCTTGTCAGAATGACACTCAGTCGTCCTGAGCACTGATACTCCATGGCTTGCAGTAGTAAGACAGTTTGTAAAATTATTACCTTTAGATACCTGTAATCAAGTGTCTATGGAACACCAAGGCTCTGGGTGATGCAGTATTTGATGCCATAGATCATTTTAACGAAATAAAGAGTGTAATGCTTCTAACTGTGTTGGGGAACACAGGGAAAGAAAATGATGAGCTTAAGACTTCAAATTCCCACCTCAAGGTCTACGTTAAGGACGTGGAAGTGCCAATGACTGGCCTGAAAGAGGTCCTAGTCTCCTGTAGCCACAGGGAAACTAAATCCAAGGTCTAATCCCAGGGTGGCTGAGTTACAACACAAAGGGAATTCCCAACCATGTAATACCTCTTTTGTTAAAGCAAGGGCATTGATTGGAATGGAATGAACCCTGAGAACTGGGATGGGGATATATGAGCAAATTCTAATGAAGCTGGGGACCTTAAGCCCCAAATTCTGTTGAGCCTTCTTTGCCAGTAGGAGCAGCACTTCTACCATCTGAGGATGTTGATCCTCCTGGTAATGATCCCGTAATGATCCTCCAAAGGAACTACCCCCACCACCTCTCCTTCTAGACCCATAACTAGACTCAAGTTCCCAAAAGTCCCATAAGATGAGGTACAAATTATGATCCATGAGGAGGTGTGATATCACACCAAGAGAATTGTATGATTTTGCCCCTTTATATAGACAGAAACTTGGGGGATATGTGCGGGAATGGATCTTAAGGATGTGGGATCAGAGTGGAAGGAGTATAAAATTGGGTCAGGTTGAATTTATTGATGTAGGCTCAATATACAGAGATTCCAGATTCAATGTTTGCTTGAGGGGCCAGGAGTAACTAGCAATTCATTTGTTTGATTGGTTGACCGAAACCTGGACCAAAATATGGTCTACACTAAATTAGTGGAAATGCCAGAACTTCCTTAGAATGGTGCAGAGCAGGGGTAGGCAAAGTTTTTGTAAAAGTGCACATAACAAATATTTTAAGCTTTGGAACCAAGAGGTAGAATTGAGGGTATTATATAGGTACTTATATAACCAGAGAGAAAATTTCTGCCTCAGCCCTCCCAGTTTGCGTGGAGTGGGTCCTCTTGGGTGGTGAGCAGCTTTGTGCCCATTTGCCAACTCAACACAGGCATTTTAGAAGGAAGACCTGCTGGCCCAAGGGGGAGGGACCTGGCAGTGGGGAAGGGCACGGGGTTGATGCACTGTCAGTCTTACTCCGCTCCAATAACACCCAGATTCCTGCCTCTCAGAGAGCCTGGCCTTGTTACCTGGAGTACCTCATTGGAAGCAAGGTGACTTGCCCAGCCATCAGCTCTCAGACTGAGATTTGACTGCTTGTTGCCCAGCAATTACCAATTGTAGAGTCCCTAACATGTTGGTGGTGACCAGTAGGCCCTGGGCAGCAGCAAGTTGTGGCCACTGGCCAAGGAGGCAGGCTCTGGGAGTAGAGTGGGGAACAGGAGTAGGGGAGATGCAGCACTGGCTGGCTCTAGCAGTCCCCACTGGTACAGGGCTGGATCTGGCCCACAGGCTGTACTTGCTGGTGTTCATAAGCTCCCAGGCAAATTCTGCACATAGGTAGGAGTGGTTAAGAGTTTAGATCCGGAGTCAGATGGGCTAGATTTGAATCCTGGTTCCACCATCTACCAGCTGTGTGATTTGAACAAGTTACTTAATCTCTCCAACACTCAGTTTTCTTACCAGTAAAATGATGATCATAAAGGTGTCTATTCCATAGGATTGTTGGGAGAATTCAGTAATATAAAACTTGGTGTCTTGTATATTGTGAGGCCCCATGGAAGCTAGTCAATATTATTAATAGCTTTGATATGTGAGTCATGTTGGAAAAATTGTTAAGGATTTGTTGTTTTAGGGGACTCCACATCAACATGAAATAACGAATGTGGTAAGATAACTAAATAACAAAAGTAGGTGAGACAGGCCTTTATTCAAATCTCCTTAAATTATGATTGGTAACAACTGGATAATAGTTGCAAAAGTTAAGAAATGGTTCAGTAGAGATTCCTCAGAGATGCTAAGAACCAAAATACCAACAATGGAACACACAAAGTTATGGGCTAAAAACGCCATCAGCATTTTGCTCAGTAAGGAACTATAAGGCCTAGTCAACATAACACTCCACTTGGAATCACATCCCATCATCAGATAAGCCTGATATTGTTAACGATAATGCTTTATATGCAAGGAACAAAATATGAAGACTCTCTCCATCCCCGCACAAAGCCCCCCACCACTGGGCAGGCCTCCATATGCCTGGGCCAGGCAGCCACGCAAGCGTCTGGAAGGCTCACAGAGCACAGAGCACTGCAGTTGAAGCAAGGACTTGACTAAGCCTTGAACCCCAGACTTGACTGAATCCACTGATGTGCGAAACCCAAAACCCAACCCCAGCACTGCCATGCCTCATTTGCCTCTCGTCTGGGGAGGAGATGTGATGTGAGATGTAATTGGAGGAATCAAGTTTATACCTTGTAAAGCCCTAAAGCTTAGAAAGAAAGTTCAATCATTTTGGATGAATTTTTTCCCCTAAAATGTCTTGCCTATTTTCTGGCCATCTTAAATATGCCATAAGAAACCTATTCAATACCCTGTTGACATGGATGCATTGTCACCTTGAACATCCATGCCATCACTACAGGAGGTGAGACTATTAAGGCTATTTTCCCTTACGCTAACTGGCCCCGGAATACTGTTAGTTCAGACCCCTTTTTCCTTCGTTTATGCTTACCCTCTTACCGTTTCCTCCTTTGTTGACACTCACCAGTTGTTATTCTCTAACCTAACCTATACCCTGGCTTTTACTCCATCCCATTCCCATATTTCAATAAAAAGGTGACATCCTCTTTTATTCCTCTTCATTGAAGATATATTTGCTGGATCCTGAAGTAGATGTAAGTTTTGATCCCAACCCCCATTCTCATAACAGCTGTGTGACACGTGTGTTAGCTGTTTAGTATTTCCTTTTTGTCAAGTTTTGACAAATTTTCAGAATTGAACCATTTTGCACCACCTCCTGTGCCACCACCCTGACCTGAGTGCTCACCTCCTCTCACTTGAGTAATTACGAAGGCCTCCCAACAGGTCTTGCAGCTCCTCTTCTAGAATCCCTGGTACAGTCTTATTCTTTACCCAGCAGATCCCTTCAAACAAGTCAAATCAGAACCCAAACCCTTCAACAGCCCTCCACGTCACTCACAATAAAGGCCAACGTCTTCATAATGACCTACGAGGCCCGGCACAATGTGGTTCTCTCGACACCTCTCTGACCACAGCTCCCATTACTCTCCCCTTGATTTGCTTCCCTCCAACCACAATGGCCTCCTCACTTTCCCTGAACACACCAGGTACATTTCCAACTTAGGGCTTCTGCTGTGGCTGTTCTCTGTGCCTGGAATATTCTTTGCCAAGATACCCACCTGGGTAACCTCATCTCCTCCAAGTTTTTGTTCAAATCTCACTTTCGCAATGAGGCCTATTGATTTAATACTGGCCCACCTCTGGGTCTCCTGAGCGTTTTCACTCTGTTCTCCTTTTTCTTTTTTCCATAGCATTTTCCACCCTCTAACCTATTACGCAGTCTACTTCTTTATTAGGCTTATTGTATACT